TGACACACTGCTTGTTAGGGAGAAGCTGGAACGTGCCTTTAGGATCACAAAGAAGCTCTGCTCTCCATTGTCCGCTTGGGATCAGCGCTCTGAGGGGGCAGCTGCGGTCTTAGGGCGACGCTGCTACACGGGGCACAGCCGCCCATGGCCAATCCTACGGGGGCTGATCCTGAAAACAGGGCTTTAAGGGGAATAAACAGCTAACGAGGTGGGCAGATAAGAGGGAACGACAATGAAACAACCCGTCTCCTTTCATCCTACAGCGAGTTTCGCCAGTTACTTACTCGGCACCCTCCCACACCCGCTGTCAGGCTGCGCGCGGCAGGCTCCAGACCTCACCTACCCGCCGCCCAACCGCCGCTCCACACAGAAAACTTCAGCCGCGCCCAGGCTGCAGCGTCCCCCGTGCAGGAGGGAACCCCCCAAAGACAGAGAAGCCGCCCCTCGCCATGCCGTGAGCGGCCTCCTCCTGTTGCTGCTGCCGCCGCCGCCCCCTCTCCCCCCCTCCCCCAGTTACCTCCGCCCCGCGCCGCTCCCGGGTTCAAACTCGCCTCCGCGCCGCCGCCCCAACTCTCGCGAGAGCCGCCGCCGCCTGCCCGCTGAGGTGGGCGGGGCGCGCGCCCGCCACGACCGTTACGTGAGGCGGGCGGCGCTGAGGGGGCGTAGAGCAGCCTTGCCCTCGGCCTCGGGGAGGTTCCCTAAAGCCTCTCCAAGGGTCGTGCAGTGCTGTTAACGCTTATTCCTGAACTTCTTCCTACCGTTTGGCTGCCTCCCGATGTTGTTTAGTACCTGCACAGCTTGCTTTTCTCCACCAGGGAGGGATCTCCTGGTGTTAGGTACTCCAAAATGCATAGATGTGAATAATATCCACCCTGAGCAAACCTCATCAACAAGTAACCACTTGCTGATGTCCAGCCCTGAGGGTTTCTTGGGACCCGCACACTGACAGGGAAGCACACTTCTCTCTACTGTTCTTCCCCACCTTAAAAGGAAGCCTGAGTATTTTTAAATTTAACCACTGCAGAAAAAGATTAACTTACTCATCTGTGTTTGCACCTTCAATCAGTGACTATAGTAGGCTTATTCTTGCACCTGACATAACATCCACACCAAAAGTCCCTGCACAGAAACATACAAGTTCTGCCATGACAGAAATAAAACCCCTTTAATGCAAAGTTACATTCAAGCAATGGGCTTTAAATGGATGCACGGGTAACAATCCTATTTGCAGCAACGAGGACAGAAATAGATATCTTAAGATAACCAAGGCTTGGAAAATGAGCATATGGCATGAAATACTATAGAGGAAGACAACAAGAATAAAATAGCCCAAACCATAGATTATTATATATGCTGCTATTTAATTGAGATGTGTGGGTCTAGCTTTTGTCAATAGAAATGGGATTAATAGTTATACAAAGTGGTCTAGACAGGCAAGAATGCCAAGTTGATTAAAACATGGGCAGGAAACAAGAGAATCCTCTGTTCTAATCCTGATTCTGCTGCATTCCCTGGGTGATTAGCCACGCCAAATACCCACAGCTCAGCTCCCTGGTTTAAAAACACAGATAACAGTGACTTAATTAACACATCCATGTAGTTCTCCTGACAGTTACTGAGTACAGCTTCAAAACAAGCAAAATGCATAGTGAATACTTTATATTAACACGATGACTCCACCAGGTCGGTTATCCATCACTTCATGCTAAGCCACAGACTAGTTAAAATAGCTGCTTGCTTCTCCCCCACTTCAGTTCCACCATTGTGTATCGTAGGTGATATTTAATACATGAAATGTGTTAACAAGCTCCTTGATATTTTTCCCGGCCAGATTTTTCATTTATGCTTTTCAGACTTCAGAGCCTACATACAAAATTACAAATTCATTATTTAAACCATTCCATTATTTTCAGAATTTGTTCTCTTTTCCTTCATGAATCGGCACCAACTAAGAAACTGTTTTACAGATCACATATACTACTTGTGAATATAAAATATGTGCATCTTTTAGTTGATCATAAGTTACTTGCAATGCACATTTGTCAAGTAGCATGACTGTTTTGTCAGAGTACTACACGATTATTCAACAGTGTGATAAAATATTTAATAGCTACATAATACTAGTATTTGCAGCTCAGCTATATACCAGGATGCATTGAAATGTACTTAGCTTGTAGGAAAGTAGATTTTAATTTAAGTGGTTGCAGATGAGCATAGAAAGACAAGGTCATTGAGTTAATCTTCTGTAGTAAATTTGGCTTTATAGAGAAAAATGCTTTTCCCCCACTTAACTCTGAAAAGACAGTTTCCATGTTTCGCATCAGCTTAGGTTGTCTTTAGTCTCCAGCTTGCCAGTGGAACTATATATTTGGTTGCAGAAACTTTTCTCCTGCTTATGACTGCAATAGCAGCTATTTTCCCATAGAGATTCTGCAAATCCAGGGTTTACTAATGCATTAATGTTTTGTGAACAAGGAGCTTATGTGGTTTTGTTCATTGACATTTGGATAGATGAATTTAATTAAATCTGTACACTGGTGACTGTATGAAATGTAAATGCATGCCTTCTAAGTCTTATCTCTGTTAGCAGGCAAGCATTCTGTGTTAAGCAATGGAGTAATTACAACAATTATATGGCTTTATTCTGTAGAGGAGGCTTGTTTTCTTTATCTATGTTAAAACAAATCACATTCAAAACAACTCTTAATCTTTACCTGCTAATTGCTCAGTGAATCTCGACAGTGTAACATGGGAGCTGACGATTGTTTTGCTACTGTACTTACCGTCCCAAATGCTACAGGAAGCAAGCGAGTTACAGCAGCCTGCTGACAAGCTGATTACTTGCTGCTTAAGTCATTTAGGCTAAATAGATCAAGGGTTAAGTAACTTGTTGGAACACTACAGTTGATTTTTTGTTTATTTGTTGACATTTACCCATTCTTCATTGTTTCAGAACTCAATTTTGTACTAAAGCCATGTTAATATACTTGCTGGAGCAACCTTTAAAAGCCAAATTTTATTCCCTTCCACATTTTTTAGTTGGTATATCTGTTCTGCTTTCTTTGACAGGAGGCACTTTCACCTTCAACTAAACAGAATTCATGATCTGTAGATTATTACTGCGAATTCCAAGTACACTAATACTTAGGTTCTCTTGCAAAGAACTCACTCAGTTCAGTAATTACAGCAACAGATTGAGGGCCAGTAACATACTGTTTCTAATCCTCTCTAACCTATTAGTGGTTGACCTCATCCAAATCACTTCATCTCACTGTTTCAAGCATGTTAGCTAAACAAAGAGGCCTTTTGCATTTTTCTTGCTAATTTCATATTAACTAGCCTTCTGACACTTCACATGATTGCTTAGGGGGAAAAAAATCTATCTGGGATAAGAGTCTCTTTTAAATACAGACTTTCAGCTACTCTGCTATAAAAAAAGTTTTTTTTTTTTTTTTTTTTTTTTTTTTTTCCTCCGTTATAAATTTATCATGTTTTCTGGTGTTGTTTGAATGGGCTAGGAGCCTTACCAATAAACTTCTTAGATGTATGTAGTAGACAGGGGTCCAGTTATGGAAGTGTGTGTACTTCAGTGGATATATACTTCAGTGGACAAATTCAGAGCCAAGCTAAAATGGAAATTTCAGCTATGGTGGAAATTTACATTATAACTAGACTAGTACCTTATATAACTATTTTATATTTTTCATCCTTCTGTAAAAAACAAGGCCAAATTAGATGTTTATTCAAAGCTTACTAAACATTTATGGTTAAAATAACAGTTGTAAAATATTGAATCACAAAACTGTTACAATTTGTAAAAGATAACAAAATAAGTTTTGCAATGTGAGTGTTTGTTTAAACCTAGGAGCTCTAGAAATCAGTCTCATAACAAATACGTTAAATTCATAGAATCATTAAGGTTGGAAAAGCCATCCACAATCATCTGGTCCAACTGTCCCCACCATCAATATCAACCACTAAACCATGTCCTTAAGCACTAGGTCCAACCTTTCCTTTAACACCCCCAATGATGGTGACTCTACCACTTCCCTGGGCAACCCCTTCTATCATTTAACTACTCTATCCAAGAAGAAATTTCTCCTAATTTCTAACCTGAAATTGTTTTCAAAAACCATATTTAACAGAACATGGAATGCATTGCAACTCAAATGAATTTTAACCTTCCTTTTTGAAGTGGTACCTAAAGAGGTCTCTTAAACTTTACACCCAATATCAGTTTAGATACCCATTATGGTTGATCCATAATTTAACACTGATCCAAAATTTTCATTATTTTTTCCATGTTATTAACATTAGTTGATATAATTTAGTGTTTAAGTCATTACAATGATACTTAGCTAACTCAGTATTCAGGTATTATTCTGCTCGTCACCAAAAATGCAGTTTGATAACAGCATCATGTAAGCATCAAAATTCACATATAAGAATACACATATATCATCATTATCATTATTAATAATGTATTTATAAAATAGCCAAAGTTATAGTTTACCCGTCTTTGAAATGTCTTCCAGAATTCACAAGAATCAGAGGACAGATATCGCCTTGGCTTGTTACCCAGCTGTTGCGTATCACCAGCACCACCTTGTGGGTATCTCACTTAATTACTGTTTGCTTGTACAATTTGCAGTCCCCGCGCAGGTGGGACAGCACTCAGTTGTTGCTACTTAGAAGCCTTCTTTGTGATAATAAAGACCGAGTATAATGAGAAACAGATGGATAACTATTAATTATTAAGACAATTTTATTTAATGAAACTTCAATTTAATTAAAATTATTTTAATTCAAATTAAATTACATGATTACATTTTTTCAATACATTTTGGACAGGATTTATAGCACTGTTACTGTGCATTTCGAATGAAATGGAATATAACATTTAATCAGCTTTCCAAGCTGGAACTCATTAGGTTTTTAGCTATCAAAACCAATTTAGCTTTCACCTGAACCCCTTTTCAGGCTTACTATAAAATGCCTTCATTTTTCCCAAATCTATGTTAGATTAGGAGTTTTGTATAAGAGTAGGGCGAGAACAAGCATGTACTAACCAACTTGTGTTTGTTTTTTTTTTTCCATTTGTTTTTGTCTAACTATTGTTGTTAACCATTGGTAATGTTAATTTAGGCTAATCTTCAACTGTAGTTTACTGTCTTAATTCTATTGTTTCATAAGATTTTTCACTGTTGTTAGGTAGCGTTTGAAAATTTTAAAAGTCTATAATGAGTTTCCTGTTAAGGAATACTATACATCTATTTGTTGTTTAGTATGTACTTTCTGAAAGTGCTAATTGAGAGATATATGACTGACAAACATGGTAAAAACTACTGTTTTTTTTTTTTTTTTTTTTTTCTTTTAAAGCTACTGGTAAGCTTTAAGAGCTATATTTCAATGCTTAAAGGTGTTGTCATGAAAAAGCGAAATTGAGTTGTTTCTTGAAGGAGTTCCTTAAAGTTCAAAACACAACCACACATTATGCATAAAAGCAATGTTATAAACAACATGATATAGGAATAGTTTGTGGTCATCTTACATAGGTATGCACAAACCATAATAAGTAATGTTACCAGTGATCAAGTTTCATTGCTCTATAACCAACTAAAACTTGAAATTCTAGAATCCTAAATTAGTATCAACACTGTTCAATATTCCTATTTTGGTAAGCTTAAATGTGTTTATCCTAGGCTGTAACAAGGAAGACAAATGAATTGAGCTGTACTTCATTTCACTTCAATTTTTCCCATTTTTATAATTGCTTTTAACCAGCTTTTGATTTAATTTCTTGTGATTTTACTTTCAATGCTTATCCCTGTGCCAGCCCCTCTTAAAAAGTAAAAGCAATTAAATGCTTTTAAGGTGGAACTGATGGATGTGTTTTTATACTATTTAGGATCAAGTGGTCTTGTTTTCAGCATGGAAGTGTATAATGTTATGTGAGACTGCATGAACTGGACAAAACCTGATGCTCTTAAAGTTAATGAGTCTAATAACATCTGATACCTGACAGCTCCCATTGAGAATTATCAGACTGAAAAGTTACTAGTTTTAAGGGGCCTTAAGGTATGTCATACAGTATCTAAATTTCTTTTCAGCTGCCTGCTTCCCTGCCAGTTTACAAGCATGTCATCAACCACAGCAACTCAATAGCTTCATTCTGTGACTGGCAGGCTCAAAATGACTGGACCTGTAAAAGTCTTGACAGCAAACAGCTAAAAGATCTCTTTACGACTTCAGAAGGTTTGTAAAAAATAAATAAATAAAAAATTGTGATCTAACACCCCACCCATCCCCACTCCCAGAATTGTTTTCTTAGCTTATTTGTTGTTGAAAACAGAGGAGAAGTAGAAGTAGGGGAACAAGTAGTATTGAATAAAAATAAGATAATTTAGAAAGATAAAATGGAAGGTTCTAATCATTTGAATGTGTCCTTTGTATACATGCTTAGCCTGGCAAAATTCTGGGACTTTTAGTCCTAACGTCTTTACTACGTAATGACAGTAATTGATAGCTTTAATGGAAAATCAGCAGCATAACCCTAGTTTCAATTCCAAAATCCTAAGTAATGTTTATGATGTACCTTAATGTATAGAACTGCTTAATCTTGTAAGTTTAGAGTGCAAAGGTTCAAAAAATGTTTCAGTGAACATGGACTGTAGTAATATTTTCTGCTTTGTATTTATGATTATAGTGTCTTTAACAATATAATAGATCTTTTTGCCCAAATTCCATGAATAGCTTGAAAGGTTAGCACAAAGGGAAAGACTTCCTGTGTCGTGCAGTGTGAAGCAGTGCATCTGCTTTTATGAAGTCTTACTTCAGCCAAAATTAGTCTAGATGTGCTATTCAAACACAAGTAACTTCACATTCTGTAGGGCCAAACATATCACTTCAGAAAACTAATATCACTTTATATAGCAATTACATGCTAAAATACCAATTTATATATATACATTTAGATATATATAATTTTACCAATTTATATATATATTTTTATATATATATATATATATATATATAAATTGAGGTGTGTGTGTTTTTGGCACAAGTCACAACTCAGGCTCTGTTTCCTAAAAGTACTAATTTGAAATTGGGCAGAAGATAGAATATCTCAGCAGTAATAACATATGCTTTCTTCAGCTAGAAGTAGAAATGCAAGCATTTGTCAGCACTGAGACACTTTTTACTCAAACTATGTAGCCTTCCTTTTGGGGATTGCCTCAGTATTAGTAAAGGAGGAAAATGGTCACATTATTCGGCTCTCAATCAGTACTAAGGAGTCTGCCCCACTGTAGAATGTCATAAGATAACTACATAATAAAAACTGTGGGGGTGCTATTCTCTATTCAGTATGATGGAAAGCAGTTCTACTTGAAAGACTCTCAGTAATGAAGATTAAGGTGGTAGGGAAGCTAAAACGTAACTTAGATCTTTTTTTTTTTTTCTTCCCCCCCCCCCCCCCATTGCATTCATTTAACTTAGTGATTCACCTGGGTTCTCCTGTACTCTTTATTAGGATATTGTACTTTGTGTAGCTAAACTATATTAATATGCTATTCATATAATATATACATATATGTAACATAAAGTATGAATTAGCAGATATTGTTATGTTTGTGTTCATTAAATAGCCATTTCTTCATGATTGTAGCAGCGGAAACAGCTAACCTCTGTTAAGAATTTGAGGTACAGTGTTCTGTTGTTAAGTGTTAAAAGTGTTAACAGTTCGTGGTTGTTTTTTTTTTTTTTTTTTTCCACACTGATCATATCAAAGAACAGTAAACCATGTTTGCTCTTTTTTTTTTTTTTTTTTTTAACCTGTGGTATGTTATATGTCTATGTAATGTCTTGGGACCTTTTAAGTTGTGTGTTGACCTTAGCAGCTGAAATCTAGCTTTGGTGTAAATGATACTATCTAATAGGACTTTAACAATATCTCCAAAAGTAATGAAGAAGATAGTCCTGATTAACTAATGTACCACTGGATGTCACTGTCTTTCTCCAAATGCAAAGCTTTTTTTTTTTTTTTTTAAATACTATGATAAAGTACTAAGGTAGGCTTACTTGTTTTGATTCTTTGGGTAAGCCAGGACCCTGAACTGGAGCTTTACCTGGCTCCATTTCTTATATGCGTAATTTAGCTAGAATGTGAGTACCACTTGGTTTCAATGTCTGCTGAAAAATTATTTGTGTTCTGTCCTGAATATATTTTTGCATGTGGTGAGTTCACAATGAGGTTTGCATTCATCCTGTTTACCTAAAATTTTAGTATCTCTTAGTATCTTCTTATTCATCACCTGTTTTGGACTATTTAAATAAGCTGCTTTTATGGCAGGTCTGCCTCTACCATTAATTTTATTCTGTTATTCAAGGTTGAATGGTGGAAATACTGTCTTCTGCCTATGTGCTGTTGTGCTGTTCAGTTTTCTATTCCTTTAGAGGAAAGTTTCTCTTAGTAAAATCCTGCATAGACAGCTTATAAATAGAAATGAAGTTAAATCTTTTTTGTTCTGCTAATTCAAATATGTAGCTTACTGGGTCATAAGAAAGAATTACAATCTGAAGTCCAGTTTCTATGTTATAGAAACAGCAGTAATCATGAAGTGAAAATGCCCTTATTTTGCTGCACAGTGTATTATCTGTGATAGATACCAAAACAGATGTGCTTTCCTCAACTTAGAGTGAAGCTGGGACTTGGGACTTCAAGCAGAAGATAGTTTGTCCTCCCATGCTCCTCAGCTATGAAAATAAAATGTGAATTAGTAGAACTGGTACCATTTCTTGAACCCCATTAATTCCATTTGACTCTGTAGTAGGTTTCACAATTGTTTTATTTGCAGTTTCCCTTCTGTGTAATTCTTTAATCTTGTAAGCTTTCTTGAAACCCCCCTTAGCACCTAACCAGCTTTTAACCTGCATTTTGAATGCATATATTTTAAAAAAAAAATAAATGATGAAGGCACTTCAGATGATGTTCATATTCTCTGGTCTACAGCCAAGATGTTCCATTTGTCCACAGGGTTGGTTTTTGATTTTTCTTTTGGATGCTTTTAAATGCTGACAGCCACAGATACAAAGCCATGTGACTTACATGTGCAACAAAATTAATCAGTCTGCATTTCCTCTATCTTTATTTTATGGTGTCTTATAGGCTTTCTCTCTTGTTCAGCTCTTGAGCTAACTGCTGGTTTTCTCCAGCAATGCCAGGTGCTTTCTCTTCCAACTCTTGGCTTGTTATCATGGTACATGCAGACTTTTTCTCACTGGTCTGCCAGCTGTGGTTATATACTGTAGTTAGAGTCAATAGGTTTGGTGAGGGAAGTACAGATGCTAGTGCTGTGGTTGTGAACTATTTAATTGGATGTAAATCAGTGCTGCAATTGAAGAACTTGGTTGTTTTTTTTTCCTGTCCCTGATTGCTTGATTCTTTGATAACACTAATAAAAGCATTTCTGTAACTCTTCAGGGAAATGATTTACAATGATTTTAAAACTAATCCAGCCTGAAGTGATAATCTTAAGTGTCATGTTCTGTGCAACTGACTCCTGCTTTCTGATTAAATGACTCATTGCAAAGGTTACAGTTTTTCTTGTTAAGGCCTTTTTAAACTCTACCTTCACTGCTCTATCATTTAGACCTAATTGTAGGAATTTAGGACAGCATAGTGAAGGGGGTGGTACTTCACATGACATAATTCCATATTAACTTAATGGACGATTTTCCTTTTGATTTTTTTATTTTCTAATCATGTTTTGAGTGAATTTAGGCTTCAGAAATGGAAGCTTAAAGGTTTTCCATATAGGGTTTGTATTCTCTGTCAATCCATGATGTGTGGAATAACTTCTCTGAGCCATTATGCTGTGTTTTGTGAATTGACTTGCAAGTATTTTGTGTGAGCTGAGTAATGTTATATTTAGTGTGGCATAGTAGAAAGCTAATTCATGCTATGACTTTGAAGTTATGAAATCAAACTACATCTTATCAGTTGAGGAGATTTGTTCACCTTTAAGTCTTTGCCATTCCAATATACTTGCTCGCTCATTCAAAGAGCAAACAGATGTGGAAGAGGGTTTAACTCAACCAAAGTTGCATTGGTTCTTGCATGAGTAAATTTCTCTATAGACCAAATGCTTTAAATTTGTGTGAGATTAATTTGTTGCGCTGTATAGACTTCCATTTTATTCAGAGTTTTTGGAAGATAAGCCCTTCACTTTTCCTATACAGGCAGGAATCTGCGGAGTGGGGAGAAAAAAAGAAGAAAAAAAGAAGAAAAAACAGTAAGTGTAGTCGTGCTCTTAAGCACTTTTCAAATATTATTTACTCATTAGGAGGCACTTTTATAAGCAAGCCACCTATATTATAACTAAGTTCCATGTCAAATTTGATGTGTCCAACCAATCAAGTAGACTGATACCACCGGTCTATCTTAAAAGTTTGCTTTAGCTGATCAGTATAACATGTTATTCAGTGAGATTTTTCCATATCTTCTGGGAGAAGGGTATTAGTCATCTAGTTTAAGGTGCTTGCCTAAGTCAAACCACTGAATATTTCTTGGATCCATCCAGCAATGTGTAATAGTAGAGATGGAAATAACTACTATAAACTTTGTCAAAAAAGGAAATGAATGCTACATTAGTTTTCTCCCATATATAGGATAATAATCTCTACAGTCTTCTCTTTTAAAGCATAATAAGTTGCCCTGGGGCCTTTATCTTGTCTCATAAAAGCTAATAGATTTTTGCTTTAAGTTTTTTTTTTTCTGCAAGTATGATTAGTTTTAGAGTGACTATGACAAGGAAGGTACATTTCTACTTTCATGTACATGTAGTACCTTCACTAAATAGTTTATACTTGCACCATGCAGATGGGCTGGCTTCACCGCATTGAGTTCAGCTTCCTGCAAGATGATCCTGACAGACCTCAGGATGGGTCTTTAGCATGCATCTTCTGTGAAATTTTCTACTGTTTTTAGAGGTTTTCTCAACACAAAATAGTTTTCTCTGAAGCCAGACAGCCTGGTGTGGAACTTGAACCAAGTTAATATTGGATGTATTACTTCTTCTTCTGTCCTGTTGTGTCACACAAGTGCTATACACTACCAAATAAAAGAAAAACATTAATTACTTAACTTTTAAGTATCACTTAAGCCCTACCTTAAATTTAACAGATTGCATTATCTCAGGTTGCTTCTAAAAAGTACTTTTATATATTTTATATATATAAAATAAAATCTAGCACAAACTGTTTTGGCAGTCACTTCCCAGTTAGAGAATGCAAGTCCCAATTAAGGCTTTTCCTTAGGCAAACTTTAAATGTGATGGGAGGAGTAGGAAGAATCATCCACTGACTCAGTTGTTTACCACAGGTTTTATTTTGAGAGAGCTTATGCTGACTCCTTATGCACCTTTGTAATAGCTTCTTTACTTCTACTTTTCCTTCAGGGGGAATATAATCAAATGTGTTTAATTTTTAGGCACAAAACTGGCAAAAGGGTGTGTAATTAATACTCCTTCCAATAGAATATGAGTTAAAAGAATTGGAGCACATTTGATTTAATATTTTTGGCTGGCATCTTCAAACAAGTAGTGTTTGAGATACTTAAATGTTGAGCACATGCCTCTCCTCAAGAGTTCTGAAGATCCTGGCCTTCAGTGTAGGCATTACAGGTCCTCACATATTTTGGCTTCTAGATAATTTGTTCCTTTCTGATCGTTAGCCTATTACGTGCAAATAATCCAGACCCTAGAACTCATTAGCTGTCAGAGCTGCTTCCTCCTTTTTTAACTTCTTTTTATTTAGGCATCTTGTCTCTGGAATTACAGGTGAGTGAAGAAAATTAAAAAAAAAAAAAAAAATACAATGTGGAAAGCAGTCATTTGTAGTAGACTAGCTTTATTAGAAACAGATGTATTTTTTTTTTCATTTGGAATAGAACCGTTAAAGAGTTATTTTGATTATTTTTGATATAGCAGTCTTGTAAAAGGCATTTTGGTTATTAACATAATTTATAGTTGAGAATGAAGGAGAAGATAATTTGTTTTTAAATTACCATTCATAATTTGCTATACTGTTTTTTCAGGTACAGAAATTTTGGTTGCGTTATCTCAAGAGAAAGTTGTATGAAATAACCAAGATCTGCTTTATTTTGTAGGCATTTGGGATATTACTCAGAATGATCAGAATACATATATAGATGTGGTGTAACTTTAATAGAATAGCAAGCTGGAAAACAATGTGTTGAAACAGTGTATAAAACCTACACTGACAAATCTAGATCTTAATTATATTTTTAATAATTATATTTTTGTTTGGTATTTGTGTCTTTCCTCTAGCATATTATGGTACCAAAACATAATGGATAGTTGCAGTTAAAAAGGAAAATGTAGATATTTGCACAGAGCTATTTACCTATGGTGGTGCTATCTGCTTTTTCAAACTGGGGTCTGAAGTGTTTGGCTTTAGCATGAATTTCTTAAAGTTTGCTGGAGTCCTCCATTATGTTACTTTTAAACAAGCTATTTATACAACTATCCAAATACTAGGCATCAGTTCATAGTAGCAGTCTGTATTCAGTCCAGATTTCAGGACAAGAATTGAAATAACCTGAATCAGCAGCCCAACTGCCTTCAGTCAGTCTGTAATTGACTGTCTATTCTGCAGAAAGTGCTATTGTTCTAACAACTAATATTAAATTGAAATGTCTGTGAAACTTCATATTTTGATCAGATGTTCACAAAGATTATTTAAAACCATTTATCAGCATCAAATGTGCAAGCAAGGCAATTTTTCTAAGTAGAAAGAGAAAACTATTTTGTCTGGTAGCACTGTGCTACTGTTTTTTGCCTTAATTTATTGTTTAATTCTTTACCTCTGGTTGACATGTCTGTTGGTTATTTGTGTTCTCTCCTTGCCTTTATTGTGTAGTTAAGGAAAGTAGAAAACTAAATCTTAAAGTGAATATCAGATCTTCTGTTATATGTGATCTCATTTGCTCATCACATACTGAATATGCAGATTGTACTAAAGTATTTTTAGTGTATGAATTATTTTTTCTTGGTAAATGAGCTGAATAAAAAATACAGGAGTTTAAGTTTGTAGCAGTGTGTTGTGGGGTTACTCCAGTGCACTGCACTGAGGGATGTCTTCTCCAGTACTGTCAAAGGTTGATTCACAAATGTTTTGACCTGACATGACTTTTTGGCCTGTGCCTTTTAAACCATGAAAATAATGTAAGCTGAACTTTTTCTTATAAATAAACTGCCAACTAACTTTGTTAGCTTTTGGGGTGCACAAGAGCAGTGCTTAGTCTATGTCATTGTTCATACTGTGCCATGAACCAGCTCACTTCTGTGCTGTGAACTCACAGTACCCTTACACACCCTGTGCTCTCATATGCAGCACAGTGGCTGCAGATTTTCACTATTCCACCGAAGTTTTCTTGCTGTTGAGATGTTTTTGTTAAATAGTATAAAACCATTCTTGAATTGCTGCTTTTCAGCAATTCTTTCACAATGCGTTCAACTAATTTGCAGAACATGTCCTGTCCCACACGTGTAAACTCACAGATAATTAGAATATGTTATGAAGAACGGATGATCATTAGGGATTTAGGGAACCGTCCCATAAAGGTGCTGTTTGATATTTTTATTTTTTTCTGAGATAAACAGGAACAAAATGTTTCACTAGTGAAATGTTCTAAGTATTTCTATGGCTTGATCCTCCCATCCTTTTGGGATGTGCACAGAAGGTAGCTAGCTTTGTCAAAGGATGCTCCTAGGATGGAGTATTCATTAGGGATGTTAGTCTTTCTAGGTTCCACCTAAGAACAATAGGTTAAAAGAGCTCCTCCAGAGACTGATCTAGAGAAATATCCCAAATTTATGTGAGGGTTTCAGTTTATAAGTAACACTTGTTCTCCAAATAAGTCTCTGGAGGTGTCTTTCTGTCCACTGGTTATGGAAAGAACTTTTTTTTTTTTTTACAGATTGTTTCAGTTGATTTTGTTTTTTAAATGTAACTTGGAAGGAGTTAAAGCTGTCTTTCATCTTGGACAGTGTAATAGTATGGAGTTACCTGACTGCTGTTGGGAGAAATGGGCTACATTGAGTGTAACTGGTATGATTTACAGTATAATTCTTAATCCTTCAGCAATGTACTTCCACTTCAACGTGAAGCAGCTCACTATCAATTAATCCTCTGTTATTCTTCCACTAATTGCTAATAAATAAGGTCAAATATTCTTCTCAGTAGTTATATATTGGAACCATGCCACTTAAATGTTAAAGCTAAGGCTGCTCATACAAAAAAAAAAAAAGTAATCTGGCAATGAAGAAAACTACTGAGGTGTTTTATTTATAGTGTGGGTAGATGCATTGCTATTACAGATAAACTGCTTGAAAAGGACTCTCTTTTCCCCCTTTATTTTAATAGAAGGCCAAGTAAACAGATAAATGGTGATGGATCACATTGGACCAGGGTTTCTTAAACTCCAGTCTATGAAGCCATCTTTGGCTTAAGCTTTAACTCAGAACAGGAACAATGAGGAACTGAATGCATATGGCCGAAGACTGACAGTAGCAGTCTACTGCAAAAATAAGCTCAATACATTTTGCTGGCTTGAAATGAAAATATTTTTAACATTCAGTATCTCTCATGTATATCTAACATTAATTTAGCATTTTGTGAGGAGTTGGACTTGGCTTGGGTATTAAACTTTCTCATGCATATAGGTTTCATCTGCAGCTCATTATGTTTGGACAGCTTTCCTTGAATATCTGCTCAGTTCTAAATATCTCCAAATGTGGTAATCAAGTCTGTTTACCCCAGGCTCATGTTCTGCTTTAACCTTTGTGATCAAGTTAAGGAAAACAAAACCAAAAAAGGCAGTTCACTGATGCTTGTTAGAGTACTGGTGTTTCTTAATGATTTATTATTATTAATACCAGGTGCAAGCTAGGTGCATCCTAGTTGAATCTAATTTATAAGGTTATAAGTAATGCAAGCTTGGCTATGTGTAGCTGCCCACTCTGTAAGCCACTTATTTGTACGGTTAATTTCATAGACTTCTCTGCCATCCTCAGCTTGTGGTTTTTCCTCATTGCTTATTTGATGCACTGGAACGTATTAGAAGTGGATACTGTTAAATTTTCTGTGGCAGGTAATGAATGTTAACAATTCATGTTCTGAATGAATGTGTGTCGTATAATTCATCTTGAGGATGAATAGGAAATTCTTCTTTTGCTTTGATCCTGGGAAAGAATCAAAACAATCTATCTTAGAGATGCTGGGAATGACAAGCTTAATACAATGATGCATACATGCAAAAGTACTGAGCCCAAGTTTTGTTTTTACTACTTTGAAATTTACTTCTAATTTATTAACTCTTCACACATGTCACAGCTGAATAATTGGTTTATGTATGTTCATAATGGCAATCATGTTTTAAAAGAAATCTACTTTTTAAAAAATGATGGGACATAGAATATAAGACTTACAATTGCAGCATTATTTCCTACTCAGAACAAGTTGACAGGAGTTCAGAAGTACATGAGAAAGCAACCCAAGTCATTTCACTTCAAGTCTTGATAATATCTTAGTAGCCTTGATGCTATCTAGACAAGCCCTGATAGTTCAAGTAGTAGAAGCAAGAAGCTGTATATTAGTCTCTGGCCCAAAGCATCTAAGTAAGAAAGAAACACAAAATACCTTAGGGTCAGATGGTTCATTAAGTAAATACGTTGATTGTAATTTTGACCTAACAAACATACTTGTCAACTCAGAAATAGTTGAATAAGAAGTAACAATTATATCCAACGAAGGAATACTGTCAGGAAAGGAGGTGATGAAACCCAGGGTACGTTGATATATTATATTGCCTATCGTTCCACAGTTGACTAGCATGCACTGAGTTTTATGCTGTTGCTAATTTAAATGAACCAATTTAAAGCTGTCTTGGAAATATCTGCATTTGTTTATGTACATGAATACTTTCATTTGATGTATTCTAGTTTTCTGCTGTTGTCTATGGTTAGAAGATACAGGGTTTGATATACTTTGGTGTGATATGGGACAGCTGTAAGCTGTTGCCATGCCTGAATGAGGCACTTTTTTTTTTTTTTAATAATAAAAACAACACTCTTCCTACCCCTCGTGGTTCCATACTGATATTTCTTTAGCAGCAAGGCTTATACTCCACTAGTGTGGGATCACTAGAGTTGAGAGAAAAAGCAAGCAGTGTTTTTCATAGATTATGTAAAGTGGGCTGTGTTGGAGTTCTAATCGACCCTAAAAGACTTTCAGTTTTATAAGTCTTGAAGTCTAAAAACTTCAGAGAAAAACACTGTATTTTTCCAGTGAGAGCAGCAAATGCTGTTTTCTGTTGTCCTGATGGATTTGGGGATTTGTGCAACACTTACCAACATCTAGCCTTCCACATTTCAAGAATCCTAGAATGGCTTAAGTTAGATGGTAGCTTAAAGACCACCAACTCCCAACCTGCCCCTGCCATGGCCCCAACACCTCATCCAGGCTGCCCAAGGCCTCCCCAGCCAGGCCTTGAGCACTTCCAGGGGTGGGGTATCCACAGCTTCCCTGCACAGCCTGGGCCAGGGCCTCACCCCCCTCATAGTAAAGAATTTTTTCCTTGTACCTAATCTAAATCTACCCTTTTTTAGTTAATTACCCCTGGTCAGGGAATGGAGTGATAGGACAAAGAGTCCCTCTTCAGCTTTCCCGTAAGCCTCATTTAGGTACTGGCAGGCCTCCGTAAGCTCTCCCTCGAGCCTTTTCTTCTTCAGGCTGAACAAGCCCAGCTCCCTCATCCTCTCTTCACGAGAGCAGTGCTCCAGCCCCTTGATTATCTTTGTGGCCCTCTTGTGGACTCACTCTAATATGCTCACATCCTTCTTGGGCTGGGGGCCTTAGAGCTGAGCGCAGGCTGCAGTTGGGGTCCTACAAGAGAAGCACAGAAGGGCAGAATCCTCTCCCTTGCCTGCTGCCCTGGTCTGCTTTTAGTGCAGACCAGGGTATGGTTGGCTTTGTGGGCTGCGAGTATGCACTGCTGGTTTGTGTTGAGCTTCTCATCAACCAACACACTCAGATTCTTTTCCTCAAGGCTGCTCTTGATCTGTTTTTGGCCCAGCCCGCGTCTGTTCTTGGGATTGCCCCGGCCCAGCTGCAGGACCTTGCACTTGGCCTTGCTGAACCCTGTGAGGTTTGCACAGCCCCACCTCTCAGGCCTGCCCAGGCCCCTCTGGATGCCATCCCTTCCCTCCAGTGTGCTGACTGCATTGCTCTGTGTCATTGGTAAATGTGCTGAGCATGTGCTCAGTTTTACTGTCTGTGTTATGAATAAAGATGTTAAACAGTGCCAGTACCAATCACTGAGGAATGCCACTTGTCACTGGTCTCTGACTGTAACTCTTTGAGCACAACTATCCAGCCTGTTCCTTACCCACTGAGCAGTCCATCCATGAAATCCATGTCTCTTCAATTTAGAGACAAGGTTATCATGGGGGACGCTGTCAAATGCTTTGCATAATTCCACACAGATGATGTCAGTTGTTCTTCCCTCACTAGTGCTATAATCCCCTCATAGAAGGCCGCCAGGTTTGCCAGGCATGGCTTGCCCTGAGTGAAGAAGCCATCTTGGCTGTCACCAATTAGCAGTGTTTTCCATGTGCCTTTGTACAGCTTCCAGAGGGATCTGCACTGTGATCTTGATGGGCACAAAGTGAGACTGACTGGCCTGTATTTCTACAGGTCTGCTACAGTATTGGTCTTATATTTATAAAATTCAGGGTAATTAGATTTCTTCTTAATTCATCACATTTAAATGGCTTTGCAAGTTAATGATGCATTTAGACAATGGTTACTTTTGTCTGTCAGTGCCTTCTTTTACAGCACAATCTCAAGTTCAGTATCAGTAAAGTGACTTATCTGAATTTCTGACATTGCTTGGTGCAGCTGACCTATTGCAGTCCATTTAGACATGAGAATGCACATCAGTAATGTTCATGAATGGGTAACTAGGTGCCTGGAAAAATGTCCTGCTGGTTATGGAGAACTGAGCTATTTTCACTTATAGTTTTGAGGAAAAATAAAAA